TCGACGAACACGGGTTCGGAGCAAATGGCACTTTCCTCCGCCCAAATCACACTTGACTTTGTCTTTGTGTCAAATTTCATCTATAGTTTACGTAAACAATAAATTACATACAATATTAATGATATACTAATAATTTAATTACGAGGTTAGTTTTAAAATCGTTGGTTTGCGTTATTGAATAGAAATAGCGATATTTCTTGCCATTCAATGTATAGTTAATTCGCGGTAATTCTCCCACTCCTGGGCCTGTATTATATGGTAAATTTAAAATTAACTTTAACCATAATAAATATATTTGTTTATAAAATAATTACCAGGTTCAGTCATAGCCTCATATTTTAGCTCTACTGATGACTTGTCGGCGCCTAATGTAGCGCTGGCTTCAGTGTAACCTAAAGTCACCAAATTAGCGTCCGGAGTCGCCTTTAATATCGTATTTAAAACTAAATTAGTTATCAATAGTTTGTTTCAATTTACAAATAAAATAATTGAATACATTTTCCAGCCGTTGTTTTACTGGCAAAACAAAACGCCTGACTTGAGTGATGTACTCGTATTTGGCTTTGCCTTCAATCACATCCTTCAAGTGCTGATTACTTAAAGCCGGCGCGAGATTACCGCCGGTATAACAGCATATGTCGATCACCATCTGATCCTCATCTTCGTAGGCATTAATCGTGTGAAAGAAAGCGAACGCTTCCGATGTATACTTCGTATCAATTAGTTGTCCATCACTTCTACGGATCAAATGAAATCGTGTCTAAAAATTTGCATTTAAAATGATTAAAAATACAGTAATCTATCAAAAAAATCACTGGAATTAGAAAAACTATATTTACCATGTATTCTGGTTTCCACGTGAGGGCATCGGCAAATGTACTGCCGGTCACTTTACTCATAGCTATTGTGGGCACCGACATGACCAGTGGCTGTTCAATGAACACATAGTGATTGTCAGTTATGGCAAAACTGTGATAATAGGCCGGATATAGCGGTCTCGCCATAGGTATGGAGCAAACAATTGACATATTGTCGAAGGGATTCTCTGCGTTGGGAATCTTTATTAAGTGATATTTGCCATTCCGACCAAAACTCGAGCCCATGTTATAGACAGTGCCGTCGGGATCGACGTGCGGGTGAGCGGTGGCCATATTGATGGTCACATACTTAGACAGATCCACTTTTTCGTGAGTTTCCAAATTGTCGCCATCGATACGGCGGATGAAATTGGTTTCTGTGGCCGCGTATAACTGGTCCCTAACGGGGTATATATTGACGCTGTCGTTGTCGGTCATCGGAGTACTGGTCGAGAACCAGGACTGAAACCTCTGCCAAATGGATTTGCAGGGATCGGGATAGGCGTGGGTCCCGAACTCCGACACCACTATCCGATTGGCCCGAAGGTTACTCTCGTAGGTATCGCTGCGGAGGAATCGGTTCTGGTATTCAACGGCGCCGTTGTTTATGCGGAACCGAT